GAATGTAGTAAGAAGGTATCTATACCAGGCATCTCCGCGAAAGTCTAATTATCAAGTAGTTCAAACAAGAGAGGCAAGCGCCTTATATATAGGGCACTAGCGCTTCGCCCACCACACCACACTTCCTCGATCTTGCCATAAGATCTGTCTTTGATGCCCCCGAATCAATAGGCCCCACCGCCGCTCGAGGATAAAAAGAATAACATGAATAGACAGTGGACGTCTTTGCGTGCTTTGCTTAATCTGGTTTGGTTGAGAAGTAAGGTAGGACAGAGCCGCCGTTTGAGCCCTAAACTATAGAGGTCGTTTCAGTGGGTGTCCAGTGAATAGAAAAATACCTTTACCAGGAACAGACCACCTTTTCTTTTAGACGATTGAGAAGTGAAGTTGAAGTCTCGAAGAAATCCGGGGAAGAAGTTTAAGAAGGTTCGGGAGCTACCCCAGTAGTAATAGGAGTTGTCGCAGAAAGTCTTTCTCTTTCTTCTTTATCTCAAGTCAGTCTGTAGAGGGATGGTACAGAGATAAAGACTTCTTTCACTCTATCTTCTATTTATCCTATATCTGCAGAAGCTGTTTTAGGATTAGTTGCGGGATAGCTATATAAAGAAAACCCGGGTAGCCGCAGCTTGAAAGTCTAATATGAAACTAGCATTTCGACAAGAGAGAAAACCCTAACCCGGTGAGTAAGAGAATAAATCCCCTTCCTTCTTTATCAGATTATGCGAACCCTGACTTTAGAGAAAGAACCTATTCGAAGGTAGTTGCAGTTTGCCCGGGAGTAGTTGCCGGAAAGGTGTCACCTTGTTTAAAATAGATCCGGATTTAATAAGTGTTCTTATTATAGCATATTCGAATTCATTATTCTCTGTCTCAGTCTTAGAACAACCCGGGATAATAGCCCCGAGGTAGCAGCTTGCCGATGGCATTGAGATCGATCGGTGGTTGGCTTACTGCTTGTTTATGCTTACTCCCACAGCAGCTGCCCCTTCTATCCCGTACTAAGAGACTTCTCCCACAAAAGATCGATCGAAGGCCCAGTTAAGTGAGTGCCGCGAATTCCGTTGCCAGTCAAGATCAAGAGTTGTCTGCTCCGGGTAGGGCTCGCTCCGGGAAAGGAAAGCTTTGGGCGGAGAGTTCTTCGCATTGAGTGAGGGTAGCTTCAGAGACTCATTCATTTTCATTTAGAGACTCAATGGAAGCTGTTTATTGTTCTAAGGAATGGGAATGAATTCTCTTCCTTTAGGAATAGAGTAGGCAGTATAAGTGGTTTTCTCTTCTAGTCGATCTCTATAAACAAAAAGGCATGGGCAATAACCCGCATCATATGCTGTAGACCAGTGGGCACCCCTCAGCCCTCGGATTTGGCAAATGCAGCCAGAGCCGCCTTAGCCTTACTGGCACCTCCGAGAAGTCTACCGCATGTTCATGATGTTCATGCGCAAGCAAGTGTCAGCGGCTCATTCTGAATAAATAAAAGAAAAAGAATCGACTTAGGGTATGGGTTCTGAAGAGGGCTTCTCCTTTCGCAGTTTGGTCTTCTTCCGATCCGAGGAGCTCAGGGCTCTAAGCTAAGTACTTGCGCTTCGTACCAATATATATTCTCGTTACAAAAAATGAAATGATGAAGGGACGGGTTGGCCTTACCTATATTTGATAATATAAATGGGAATGCGGCCAGTCCAAGATCCAAGATTGGATATACAGTAAAGATCTTTTGGCAGAAATCAAAGACAAGGGTCTGAAATCTGAAAGAGAGGAGAAGGAATTTTAACAAAAGGGCGACTTCCTGATTCATTCCACATTTCACATTCCCCTGGGGTACCCCCTTTGCTACTCGTACTCGTAGATTGAAAAAATTCTGTCAGCTTCGCAGTCGGGCGCTTTCCCACTTCCTTTTTAGCTTTGTGCTTCATTACTAGTCCTAAGGTATAAGGATACCCCGAGACCATTAGCCACCCCCGGATGATATGGATGTTGATAATCGGAGGAAATCAGTTAAGTATTTCCAAACGGATGAACACTTAACTGTTTCGGCAAGAAACAACAAAATATGTGAACTGCAAACGTCCGTGAACCGTGGGGGTCGAGCTCGTATAACAGTACTTGCTATAAAAAGGTAACGTACGATATATGTAATTATTTTATTTAAAATATAATATAATTTTTTATGTAATTATTTATTTAAAATATAATCTAATACGTAAGTATTTAATTATAATTATATTATATAATTAAGTTTTTATGTATACTTAATTGTTAATCATTTTTTGGAAAACATATAATCGATTAGTGCAAGAGCTCTTACAACAAATGCAAGGGTTAACTAAAGAAAGAGATTTAACACCCGCTGAAGAAAGAGCATGTTTCGAGAAAGTATTAGGTTCTCGTCGAGTCCATACCATAAGCAACGGCTGAAAACCTTCTATCATCCCGCCGATGGTACGGCCATCGCAGCCACCACAGTCGCAACCATCCCAGGCAAAACAATACTATTTAATTTCGAAGTCTCATATAATGATCAATAAATGCATGTTGATTTGGTAATTTAGGCTTGTGGTGATTATTTGCTAAAAGCTTTGGTAATTGTCGTAAGTGCAAGAAATAGCAATGTACTTTGATTTTTTTTGTCCAAAGTGCAAGAAATAGCAATGTACTTTGGTATCAATAAATGTATGTTGATTTGGTAATTATGATTGTAATTGTGTTTTGGCCCATTTACAACAAATAGTAATGCACTTTTGTATTTCTTGTATTTAATGTTGTTTAGCACAAAAAAGTAGAAAGTAAGCTATCATTTCTTGTAAAACAAGACTATTTAATTTCAAAGTCTCATATTTCTATATAATGATTAATAGATGCATGATGATTTTGTAATTGTGTTTATGTTCCAAGTGCAAGAAATAGCAATGAGGTTTGCTTTTTTGTCACTAGTTTAAAAATAACAATGTACTTTGGCATCAATAGAAGCATGTTAATTTGGTAATTGTGTTTATGTCCCAAGTGCAAGAAATAGTAACGTAATTTTGGTATTTCTTGTATTTAAGTGCAAGAGATATAAATGTACTTTGGTAATTTTTGTTTATGTTTGATAGTTTAACTTATAAATTTATATTTGTTAGTTATTATGTAGTTGGAAAATCTTCATGCAATGTTTAACGACCCGGCGTGTAGGGATGAACTTTATGTGTTTTTTCAATCAGGGAAACCACAAAGTGATGCTCAAGGAGGAAACTAGGGGAACGAAGATGATAGTTCGTTGGATAATTAGTTTGTGTTTTGTATGTTAGACTTGTGGTGACACTTTGGTACTTGTTGGAATTATAACATTTTTTTTTGTTTATTTTGGTATTTGCAGATGGAATTATAACGCTTTGGTACCTAATTCGATGTCTTAATGTATTTTTTTCCTGCATTTTATGTCGTTACGTATCGGTTTTTTTATACCCGCAAAGTTTTGATTTAAAAAAAGAATGAAAAATAATATTACCGGCGACACTGTTATCTGTTATCGGCGACAAAGGGTATTACCGGTGACAAAGGGTATTATTGGCGACAGGGTTATTAATGGCGACAAATATTTTAGCAGTGATATTTTGAGCAATAGCGACATGGCAATACCAACGATTTTTTATCGGCAACGTGTCGCTGCTATTGTCTTTACCGACAACAAATCTATCTTTTACGAGTGACTTTTTTCACCGCTAATGTCTCTTTTTCTTGTAGTGATATTTTGTAGTGTTGGTTCTGATTTGGTTAAATATATTTGGCATGAGTGTTAAATATATTCTTAAGTTAAGTATTAATTTAAGTAATATGAGTTTTAGATTATATATATTATATTTTAACGTAAATATTTTATAAATAAATAAATATTATTTGGAGTAGAAAGTAATAAAATTTGATGAAATGTTAAAAGGTAGGTATTTTCTTTGAAAAAAAAAGTTGTGAAATATGTAGAGCTACCAAAACCATGGACCTCTCATTACAATTCATAGCTGATTGATCCTATTGCTTGCAAACCGCAAGACTCTTTATCACAGACAGAATTATAAAGGAATTCTATATTCAAAATTAAAAATGGGTAAATAACACAAAAGACACTAAGTTTACACGAAAATTCTAATTTGACATTAAGTTTATTTTTTTTTAATTTTTAAAACTTTATTTTTTTGTTCCAAATCGAACATTATTTTTTTCGATTTTGTTTAATGCTGACCATTTTCCATTTGAAATCGTATAAATATTTTTTTTTTACATTTTAAACCATATAAAAACATTTTTTTTATTTAAAAACCATATTTTTATATAAATACAAATTTTTTTTACATTCAAAGCATATGTTTTATAAATATTTTTAGTTATATAAAGCTAGCCGAACTAACCATAAACTTCAAATAAGAATAACAAAATTTTATCAATTACCACTTATGAAATATTATTTATTTTATTTTTTGTTGTAGATTTTACACATATTTTTATTTACGATTAAATAATTATAAGGTTTCAAATAGAAAATGATCGGCATTGAACAAAATTGAAAAAAATGATTTTCGATTTGGAACAAAAAAATAGAGTGTTAAAATTGAAAAAAAATAAACTTAATGTCAAAATCGAAAAAAAATGAAAACTTAGTGTCTTTTGTGGAAAAAATAATCAATTTTGACACGTCAGCATGTCATTTCAGCATTCCACGTCATCAAAACTGACACGTCATCATACCACGTCAGCAAGTAACCGGGTTGATTGGTTAAGTGGTCAGAATTTTAAAAAATTAGAAAACACAGTATCAAATTTGAGACAAAAAAATAATACAGAGTCAAATTAGAATTTTCGTGTAAACGCAGTGTCTTTTGTAAAAATCAAGCTTTCCCTTTCCAGGGCATCATAAAAGATTTGGATTCATCAATGCCTCCGAATGATCATATGCACCTTTGTTGGACTAATTTAAACATCACTAATGTATGATTTACATAATTCGTGTGTAAACAACCGATAAGTAACTAACGATTCATTCCTCCAAGAGGAGTGGATGGAATTTGGACTCCATTGTTAGACATCCTCGACCTATCCATATTTCCTTGCCAACCTAATAGTATTTAGAAAATCGATGGTATCATTAATTTTTGCCAAAGAGTTAGTTTTCTAGCAACACGATTGCCCACACAATCCTATATATGTAAATCAAGTATACAACAAAAATGGGTGGAATAACAGCTACATATATCAGTATTTCAGTATTTAATTTAGAGAGATGATTACCAATAGACAAGTCGAATCCATGGCGTTGAAGCTCGCGATACTCTTGACACAAGGCACATGGCCCACAGCAGAAATGAACGCAGCAATCATTAGTAGGAACTTCAGGCAATCCATATTGGCGCCTCATCTTGGTACGATTAAAGCAAGAATAAATGCATCCACAACCGGTTAGAACATTGATCAACGCATAGAGAGTTCCATGTACTCCACAAGCTGTGTATGAACAAATCAAACTATTAATCTCCATCACGAATCATCCACAATAATTCTTGTTAATTAGACAACTTACAAGTTGTTCCATTGTCAACAATCTCAGCTATTTGTCCGAAAGTAATGCAAGGACACCAACATGTTATACAACCTACGGTTCGAAAAGTAAAGTAAAGTAAATATTATTCCATGAATAAATACACATAAAGTGGAAAGAGGATAATATCCCTTAGTTAATGATTAATGAAACATAATACGTATTTATGCATGCGTTTAGGATGATTTGCAAGTTTCGATGACTTACAGTTAGGGATATCAAGGCAACAGTCACAAAGTCCACTTGACCAGGAGGTCTGAGACACCAGAGGTGAAGCTGAAAGCCCAGCGGCATATGGTGGTCCTGGGGGTGGTTGACCATATCCTGGTGGAAGGACTGACGGTGGTGTAGAATTTTGGGAATACATGACTATTCAATCCAATAGTTAGTGGTACTGTTTGCTTCGGATTACATTATGAGATAGAGTCTGTTTACGTATCATATATTTATGGACTACAGGAACATTTAAACAGTAAGAATTGACAGCAGCAAATAAATACATTTTATATCCGCTAACTTGGAATTAAACTTCTTATTAATAAAATTTTAGACCAAGTCCATTTCAGTCAGAAAATATCATTCTAAAATCTTAAGTCTCATGTTTTTTTTTTTTCTTATTTTTTAACCAAATGGCTTTTAGTCTAGGGGTAGCATTCTTTGAGATCTGGTCGATGGTTCAAGTCCTGCAGTAGAAATAATTAAATAATTTAGGAGTAGTTTAATATATTTGTCATTTAAAAAAAATTAAAAAAGAATAAATCTCATGTTGTTCAAGATACAAACATCACGTATGTAAAAGAATACATGATGTGTAAATTCTATAGTAACCCTTGCAATAAATATAAAACTTTATATATTTTCTGTATAGAAGTTGAAGAGAAATTGCGCGTGGTGGACTTTTAAGTTTAGTCTAGATTCTAGAAGACTAAGGCTTGAAGACTAATTACATGAAAGTAAGCGTAGGTTGTCTTCTTTTAGAAAATTCAAGGTGGGTTCCTTCCAAACTCAATCTTTCGAAGGTTGGGCATAATTAATATTTACAGAAACTGATACGAAAATGAGAAATGAATATTCAAAGAAAGTTAGTTGAAGGAATGTTTTTTTTCTTGGAAAGCAAAGAAAATATATTAACCACAAACTCCACTATCAAGCTGTTAGTCGAGTAAATGTGACATATAAGTTGAAGTTTAAAACTTCCCTTTAATTTTCAAATTTATGGTGTACCTATTCTATATCCTTTGGACATAAAAGAATAATGGTAACAAAAATACTAGACATTAGTTTTAGGATTACACTTCCATTGGTAACAAAAATACTAGACTTTAGTTTTAGGATTACACCTTCCATCTCGAGTCATGTGATATAGTTTATAGGATGGGAGGTAGTATTTTCACTTAAAAAATAATTTATTCACATAAAATATATGTTTTATCGATTTGTACACTGCAAATGTTTGTAATATATATATATATATATATATATATATATATATATATTATATATATATTCACGTAAAATATATGTTTTATCGATTTGTACACTGCAAATGTTTGTAATATATATATATATATATATATATATATATATATATATATATATAGGGTGTGGATCCGATGAAAACTCAAAAAAATAGTGAGGACCGCGATGACACTTCTACATCAACCATTTCATCAATGTGACAAACATCAAACCCTATACTTGGACATGACACGTTCGGATGTGAAACACATTTGTGGTAATTAATATGTACTCGAGGATTTAATCACGTGCAAGAAACATCTATAGAACATCATTTAAGTGTATTTTATTATTTTTTTCGTTTTTTTAAATAAAAAATTTATATTCTATTTTTAAAAAAAAAATTACTTACATATATACTCGGTTTTAAGGTTTTTTTAATTTTTTTTTAAATTTTTTACTGTATTTTATACATATTTAAAGTTACTAGTGTTTTGTTTTTGAACTAAATATCTTTTTGAGTTTTTAATATTTAACAATTATAAAATTTTTAAATAAGGAAAAGATTAATCATATAATTTGTTCCGTTCATATTATTTTTGGATTATAAAATTTTGAATCAAATTATTTTGAATCATAATATTTTCGATTATATTATTTTTGAATAATGTGATTTTTGACCAATAATATATCCAATTAATAAAGTATTGTTCAGAAAACAAAATTTTAAATCATTATATATTTTGAATCATTTAATTTTGAATCATAAACTATATGATTAATGATCATAAAGTATTTGAATCAAAATATTTTTAGATCATAACAAATTAAGGATTATAAACATGGTGAATAATAATATTTTTAGTATAATAAATACTTTGAATCATAAATATCTCGAATCATCTTATTTTGGATCATACTATATTCAATTATTTAAAAAAAAACTAGTAATCATTATTTAAAGAAAACATTTGCATACTTAATAATAATCATTTTGAAAATTTTCTTTAACAAACTCACTAAAATAGTATTACGAAGAATTCTATTATTTGTTTTTTTTAAAATTTTGATAAAAAAAAATCCATTATATTTTATAAAATCTAAAATTTCTTAAAATTAAAATATGAACACTTCTAAAACTTATTTTTCAAAAATTATTTTTACAAAGTCACTAGTATCTTTAACAGAAATGTCTCTTAAATTTTTATGGGTTTTGGATATTTTTTGGGGGAGTTTTGTTATAAAAAATAAAAATTTAAAGAATAATATTTTTTTAAATTTTCATGTGCTTATTTTGTAGAGAATTAAATTTTAAGAACTTTTTTAACAACATAAATAATAATTAGCATGACTGTAAATATATGTATTCTGTCAATACGAGCATTACCGACTGAATCTAGGTTATCAAAATTTAGCACATGTGTAATCTTTACGGGCGGATTTATGACGAAAAGGTCTATCACCAAATTATAGACGAAAACTGAGGACATATTATCACTAACGGAATAACAACGGTATAGTGATAGAAACTAATAAACATTGTCGGTTATAACATTGTACTTTGCATTTATTCAATGTATTTCACGAAATTAACTTAAATACAAACTTATTCAATTCATACAAATACAATGTGTCACACCTAGCATTTTTAGCTAGGAAATTTTGTCTTCATGTAAAATCAACTCTTGTATAACTTGTAATCTAAGTTGATGTCATGTACTATGCTCATTCAAAATCCACCATTTGAATCAAAACTCGTGAGTGAAGTTCAAAACCTAATTCAATGCATCTCATATACTCAACTATAGGTTTGAAATCCTAATATCCCAGTTCAAACTCAAAATGGACCAGGATCCTATTATTAGGCCTAATGGGTCAGTAAACTCTCAATTTGCCTATTTTGGGTTAAGGAACCCTATTTGGGCCTTAAATAGACCCATATTCATTAAATAATAGCATTTTTAGGCCACAAGACTTCTCATGGGCCTTATTGGGCCTAAAATGTCTCACTTTGTTGTCATGGGCCTTAATGGGTCGTGCATGTTTTCTTGAAGCTTAATGGGCCGTAAACTCCCTCTCCTTATCATTATTGGGCCGTAAACTCTCATATGGGCCCAATGGGCCGAATTTTCCATATTAGACCCAATAACATTCGAATATATTCATTAATGACCCAAGCTAATTCAATTCTCTTCCTCCTTAATCCCTTCTCAGTTTTGATATAAAAAAAAGTCCATGGATATAACAACTTGACACCTCATGTTTGTATAGTGGTTTCCCATGCATTACACAACAAATATTTACGCATTTCTCATACTCTCATGCACCATCACATCTCACTTCTCTCTTCTCTCCTTGTTCTTCTATTCTCGACCATAAGAAGCCCTCTCCACCATCTTCATGCCACCCACAAATCAAACACCAATTCTCTCAAAAACTCTCAAGAAATCCCATTACTTCCTTGCTCTAAAAATCGTGTGGGTGCTTGTTCTTCAAGGAGTTTCTTTCAAAGCTTCATATACTAGGCTCTAGGACCACCCACATCTTCAAGATCTCCACTCAAGAAGCTTGCTAAGGCCGAGATCCTTCTCAATCTTCATCAAAAACCGAAATCATCAAACCAAAGTGAGTTCATACCCCCTATTTTCGGTTTTTACTATGTTTTGAGGGATAATACAAGTTGTTTTGTGTAGATCTATGTATATATGCATGATTTTGTGTGATTTTCATGATATAAGTGTGATTATGTATTATAAGCTTAATAAACTCGAAAATATACTAACTTATGATGATAGTTATAGAACATAAGACTTATTACAACATATAATGTAAAGAAAAGGTTTAAAACACTTCAAAGTTGTTTAAAACTAAGAAAATTGCATGAGAGGGCCAAAAATGACAAAATAATCAAAACTGAGGTTCTTTATAGAACTCACGGCCTTAAGGGACCAAAAAGGAGTTATTTTTGATAAATATGAATCTTTATGGTATTTGCGATTTTCAACGGGCTAAAAGTGAAAATTATCACAAATGGGCCTCATTTGGGCTTTCATGGCTTTTGGGCCATAATTGTAAAATTTTGGACTTTTGTGGGCTTAAGTGTCATTTTAAACAAAGTTGTGCCAAAAATGTAAATTTTCGATAAAAAGGGCTGAAAATGTAAATTTATTAAATCTTGAGCCAAAAAGATAAATTTATTTTATAAATGGGGTCGAGAATGCACATTTTCATAAACTTCAGCCAAAAATAATAATTTTTGACAAAAGAGGGTTAAAATGCTATTTTTACTTAAAACTAGCCTTAAATACAAAACGTTTGGCCTTAAAGGACCTAAAGTGTCATTTTTACCAAAAATGAGCCTACATTGTAAAATTTTCAGTTTTAAGGACCAAAAACGTCTTTTTACTAAAAATGGGCCTTTTAATGTCATTTTTGTAAACAACTAAACTTAACAACCAGCGAAACATAAAACGAATCAATTACGTCAATTACATGCTTATTGGGCCTAGAATATAATTTACATGTTTAGTGGGCCTTAGTTGTCCTTTTACATGTTTATTGGGCCTAAAATTCACCTTGCATGCTTATTGGGCCTGGATTATAATTTACATGTTTAGTGGGCCTTAGTTTTCCTTTTACATGTTCATTCGGGCCTGGAATATACCTTACATGTTTATTGGGCCTTCGTGGTCCATTTACATGCTTGTTGACTTCGCACATTCACAAACATACACGTTGGGCTATAAAAACTAAATACTTATACGAAAATAATATACTCTGTGCAATTTCATATTCGCGTAAATTTGGTTAAGGATCTTGTGAGAAATTTCGGTTGACACATATTGAGTGTACAATCGTAGCCTGTAGTTATAACCAGAGTCTCCTGGAGGGAGAACGAAAGTTTGTGTA